TAAAAAAAAAAAAAAAAAAGAAAAAAGAGAAAAAATTGAAGACATGCCTGAATTAGAGGTTCATTACTCTAGAAATTTAGGATGATGTTACTGCATCAGTCAACGTATGCAAGCATATCTGGTGAAGGGAAGGTCAAACTGAACAGGCAGAACTTATGAGTTTTCGTTTATGTTCCATTTGCTTGGTTTAGTTCCATCACATGTGAGCCATGAGCTTTTCTCATTGACTCATTCATTTCGTTATATTTTTAACTATCCTTCTGTTTTGCTTGGCTCTATGACGTACTTGTATGCCCATTTTGTCGTTTTGTTATTTGTAATGACAATTGGTTATTTATTTAACTTCTCATCTTCTTAAAGGTGTGTAAATACTTTCTAGAAGCGGTTGAGAAGAAGCAGTACGGTTGGTTCTGGGTCTGCCCGAATGGTGGTAAAGAATGTCACTACAGACATGCTCTTCCCCCTGGATATGTTATGAAGTCCCAGATGAAAGCTCTTTTAGAGGAAGAAAGTGACAAGATATCCATTGAGGAGGAGATAGAAAACCAGGTAATGCTATAATTACAAATGCAGCTTTTCCTTACTTTCTTCCTACTAAATGCAGTTATTCATTATAGATATTTTTTTGTTTGTTTTTAATTTACAGCGTGCAAAAGTAACAACTACAACGCCTATGACTCCTGAGTTATTTATGCAATGGAGGAAGAAAAAGATGGAGGAGAGGGAAGCTGGCCTGGCTGCACAGAGGGCTGAGAGAGCAAAGAATGACCGCATGAGGCAAGTAAAATCTTGAGTGAAGACTTATAATGCTTTTATGTGTAGGGGTTACGTTACGTACAAGAAAATGATTCCTTTCGTTTATCTTTTTTACTCTCTCAGTGGCCGTGAGCTGTTTCTATCAGACGCCAGCTTGTTTATTGATGATGCTGAAGCTTACGATAAATATCAGAGAGAAGAAGAACCAGATGCTGATCAAAAGCTAATCGACTCTATTAACCCACAAAATTCTGTGTGTTTCTTTTCTCTCGTGAAATAATTTTGCTACAATTAGGCTTTTAGGGTTTGCTTTAAAAATAATGATAAATATTATATCAATGGATTTTTAGGTGTTTCTCCTTTTTCCTTATGGTTAAAAAAGTACATACAGGCACAATGGGATAATGCAGTCCTTTTGCTCTTGATAGAAAAAGCTCAAGTAGCTTAGAGTTTGGTTAACACTAAGAAATTTTTACCATTGTGAGAATTTAGGCTTTTTTTAAGAAAAGTGCTCCCAACAAATCAAACTCCTCAAATCACATGTGCTCTATTCTTTGCTCATTTAGCCTGAAGAACTTATAATTTGAAGAAATTACTTGAAGCAAGAATTGGTCTTTGGTCATGTGGAACAATTTCAAAACGATTTCCGTCTGTATATTCAGAGGAAAAATACTCGTATTTAAACAGTCATGGATAATCTGGTTTCTTTAGCACTATGTTTGTTCAGTGTCTACCTTCCATTAGCCAAACGTGCATTCATCTGTTACAGGTTAATAAAGATCCATCTCTTGATCGACCGTGTTCTTCTACATCAACCATACATGATAATGAATGTAATCCCAATCATGATGATGAAGATGATGACGATGATGATCTTGACATTGATGAGTTGAACGAGCTAGAAGCCAGCCTGTCAAGAACGACACTACAAATCAAAGAGCCAGGTGGCAACGTGTGAAGGGTTAAGGCTTGGATTCGAAATCTTAGCGTATTTTTTACTCTGGGGGTTTGGTGCTTTGAAAGTACCTGCTAAATTCAGTCCTTTTGTGGCGTTAGATTTCAGAGTGAGAAGAGCCTTCTTTTTATGCACAGTATTGTTATGTAGCAACTAGCAAGTCTTTTGTGATCCTTCTTGTAGGGAATCGGGTAGTGTCTTTGAATTCCTGGTTCGAGTTTGATTTTCATTAGATAATATTTAATAAAAGTCGGGTTTGATTTTGTGTAGTTGACGAGATGTTAATTATTTAATTCATATATATACAGCAACTAATTGGTAGGGTCGCGTTTTCAGCTCGATAAATAATGTAAAAAATTCAAAAAAATAATTAGGTGTTCATTTACATGCTGAGAAATGGTGAAAAAATGTCTTGTACAAAATGCCAATGGTTAAAATGTACTATGGCTAAAAAATAATATAAATGAATTCTGAAGCTTATAATCTGTTATAATTTTTGCTATGGAGATGATCGGCCAAACAACGGATCAAGAAACTACTGAGAAAAATCACAAGATCCACGGCCAAACAACGGATCAAGAAACTCCCCTAATGGGCTAATGAGATCCGGCACTTGAAGCTAACCGGGCTAGGACATTCGTCTTCATGTTTTTCGTAACAGGGAGTCAAGAAATTTGTCACGCCTTTATTTCCATTTCAATGTCCAAAGAGGAAGTCAAGGAGTTTGTCACGCCTCATAAAGATGACACAAAATATATGAAGGAAAATCAATTATATTGATCTGCATGCACAATCAGATGATAGATAGAGGGATCTATCATCTTTCTATGCTAATAGAACCCTACTTAATCCTTCCTCACCCACAAATCATTTATTTTCCCACTTACTATGAATTGTCAGGCACCGATGGATGATTATTGCGATGCACTTCAGACCGATCATCTTCAAAAATAATAAATAATTTAAAAAGTGTTCAAAAAATAATTAGATGTGCAATTACATGCTGAAAAATGGTAAAGAAAAAAAAAAGGGAAAGTTTTTTACAAAGTGTCAATTTTTATACTGTGACTAAAAATAATACTCAATTGCTATTCACCGCCCCCCTATTACTACTCACCGCCCCCCCTTTGGACAATTTTGCCCCTGACATTTTTTCTAAAAAAGTAAAAAAAAAACAAAAAAAACCGTAATTTGTTATATAAAAGAAATATTATTAAATTAATTAATCACTATTTAAATAGGTAAAAATTTTCACTTTTTAATAATAATTAATTTCACTTAAAAAAGTTAAATAAAAGAAATATTAAAAAATATATATATTAATAATTAGTTGTATTAAAAAAAATTATATATATATATATATATTTATTAAAAGATATATATATATATATATATATATATAAATATAGTTAAAGAATATATTAAAAAATATATAT